CTACCCCCAAACTAAAAATGACATTGTCCCCATGTCACATCATGCACATTTCAGGAATAGAAAAACACAATTCAAGGGTACGAGATATTTCCCTAATTAATTCGTGAATGCTGATTTTCGTTCGACGTCATGCACACCCATTCCTTGGCTTCCTCATCATCATCATCTATAAAACAAATGCAATTCTATGGTGCCCACTATGTTAGAAATTTTCATGGAATAATATGAAAAAATTACAACCTAATCTCACCCTTACAAACTAAACTAGAAAATTCAAACAACAATAAACAATCTAAAAAGAATAGAAAATTAGTTCCAATGTACAAAACAAAGACAAGACAAATGAAAACAGAAAATACAAAAACAAGTGTTTTAGGCTTCATTCGTCGTCTTCCTCCTCTCCTTCGGCGTCATCAACTTCTTTCATGGAATCATCTTCTTCCTTTTCTTGCCATTGGAAGTTTGAAACACCAATACCCAGATTGGTGCAGCAGTTGTATTGCATCTCGTACAGCTTTCAGGTCTGCCTTGCTATCCAATCTTGACGTCGTTCCATCCTGTTCACCTTATCCAAAATTTGCTACTGTAGTAGCTCCTTTGTCAAGGATGTTGAACTGGATGTTATGACAGCTGTTGTGGTTCTTTGTCTTTTCTTTCCGGAGCTGGGTCCTTCACTGGGAGGACGCTCTAGTAGCTTGTAATAATAGTTGGTATCAAGGGGTGGGGCAAGATGAATAAGTGGTTCATCTTCTGCCTTCTTGACTCCCACTCGAGTGCGTAGCTCAGTGATGAGATGTGGGAAGGTGAAGCTCCCTCACCGTGGTTTGGCTACATGATGTATACTCTCCATTATTATATTCCCCACATCCATTTTCGTTCCAATGGCAATGGAGCAAAGTAACATTGCTCGCTCAAAAACCACTCTACTGTAATGCATTTCCGAGACCATCCGCGCACAGACAAAATACTGCCACAATCTAGCCATAGGAATCAAATTTGTTCCTTTAATGCTTCATCTCCTCTTCTTCAAAATTTCCCAAGAGGTACTCGGCTTTGTTATGACCTTAAGAATCTCCTCTTCCTTAATTTGCTTCTTCTTAAATTCCAAATACTCATCACGGTTAATTGGATCAAGTTTGTAGAAATCATTGATAATCTTCGCATTGATTGGCACATTGATACCCCTCAAATAAACATGCTCAGGCTCACACTCAAGGAAGTTGGCATAAAATTCTCTTACTATTGGCTCTATGGCTAAGTGTTCCGGTTCACTCATGAAGATATCCCAATTCCTTCCTCGATTCCAATCTTCTCTATGGACAGTGGTCAATCCTCTCTCGACAATAAACCCTTTGTCTTTTCTTTTAATTGCACCTTCATAACACTGTCTAGCCTTCTCATTCACAAACCTATTGTCGACCTGTTTCCTTTACCCCTAGGAACCATTTTGAGCGGCATTTCGGATTTCAAAACTGATCACTCAAATCTACCCCCAAACTAAGTGATTCAACTCGACAATTCAACGCTAAAGTACTATTTCTATAACCCACAATCACTCCTCAATTCACACCAAGGTTTCAAAAATTGCATTTACACCCCAAAATCACCACTCTTCCAAACTCAATCAAACCAATTCAAAATCGAAAAACCTAACTTCCTCAACAACAAACAAATCAAACTCAACACTTCTTGAGTCAAAATTAATCCACAACTCAACAGATTCAATCAAATTCTCAAACTTAAAGCATTAACAATCGCAATTGATCAAATTTAAGGCAAGAGAACTTGAAATCTTACCACTCCCATGACGAATGCACCACCAATCTCACTAATTTCTGCCCAAATTGCAAGATCCCCAAATTTTGGAAAACCTAGGGTTTCCAAACTTTTCTTCAATATTTTGCAAAAATCCTTAACAAAGTAAGGTGATTTAGTGTTTATAAGGGTTAAG